CTCTAACATTCTGTGATTCTGTGAAGCAAGGAAACAACTAAGCATTATCATGAAAAATATATATAAATTGCAAGTTCTGCATGCTATATACTAATGAATTGATATAAACCAGACTCTAACTCTACACCTTTTATGGATCTACATATTTGGCTTTCAAAAAAGTTTGTTTCTAGAGACTGTTCACAGAACAATTTCTTTCTCCTTTTGCTATGAAAGAGTAGCAACTTTAAAGTACTGAAGAAATCTCAGGAAGATAAAATAGATAAATGGGTTATGGGACGTTTTTTTAAGATCATATTGAGATTAGATCTTCCATGGCTCTTCCCAGTGAGTATTATGATGTAAGAAGCAAAAATATGATGATTAAAAAAACCCCTAAAAGATACAATATGTTAAAATGTGCTGACATTAATTTTTTTCTGGCAAAAATGCAAGTCTCTGAACTGTATTTTCTTGTTATTTCCTTCCTACTGACAGATGTTTGTAGTATCTGAAGTCACACTCTTTTTTAAAGGAGGGCTGTCAATTCAAAGTTTTAAAATCTTCATACTCTTTCCTAAGGGTGGAGGAAATACAGTAATAGTCTTTCTCCTACTCATACCAGTTCAAATTCTCAGGTGCTCATTTGTAGATTACCAGTCATAAAACTATTTGGCCAGATGGGAAGAAAAAACCCTTGATAACCTAATAGACTGTACCGATCCACTGAAGAGTTCAAAGAAAACAACTGCAACAGTCAGACCCAATCCTGAGAAAATAACTGGAAAAGCCCAAACAAGCAGCATTGAAACATTTTCTGAGAAGTTCAAACTTACTTTGAAAGACTACAGGAAACAGGCATCTCCCAACTCCACTCAATTGGTCCATTTTCTGCTTTCTGTATTCCAGAAATAGCACCAGAAGGCTTTCCAGTGATTATTTTATACCTGCAATACATTATAAAAATGAGAGACTTCAGTTACTACCTCTTATACATACATAGGTCTAGTAACTATTCCTCTAAGGGGTATACAACAGGTTGGCCTAAATTTGTAGGTGGTGTAATAATTAGGAAGCTTCACTCACAAGCTGATGGAGGGTGCTAAAATAGTAAAAAATGAAAAGGAAACACTGCAGGCTATGGTGGAGAAGCAACTTTGTCTACCCTAGGTTTGGGAAAAATTTAGGAGAGATTTCAGGCATCACTGAAGGAAGCTGAAGTTTTTTCACAAGTGTTAATTAATCAAAGTCAGATTTCCAAGGCAGTTCAATTTAGATGTTTACATGACTATAACTTCCTGCATGTCCATGCCAAGAGATGACATTTAGCCACCATGCTCACTTTGAGATTAAAAAGGAACAGGAAGCGGGCTTTGAGAAGTTACTTTAACTTGGAAACATCTATCAATTTGTATACAATTTGGCATTGTCTAACTTTGTACTGAACAGGCTAGCGTTTCTCAAACTTTTCATTAAAATAATAAGGAGCAGTAGGCTTTTTGCAAGAGAAAATTTCAGTTGTGCTTTCTCTTTTTGGAGGACGAGCTACATATAAAACATACGTTCCTTGCTTATCTCTCAAGCAGATAAAACAAGAATGCCTGTGGGATAATCACACGATGGGCAGTTCCTTTAACTAAGGAAATTGGAGTTGGCAAAGACTACCAGAATAGAGATGTTATTGGCCTATTAGAGTTCCCAAGTATCACCTTGCTTTATTTTTTAAATGCAACACACAGACCAACAACAAAATAGAACTAGACTAAGATGAAACAGGAATAAATTCCAAACGGCACATCATAGACACAACTTCTGCTTCTCTTTCAGGAGCTAGCCCTGTTATCTTCAGACACGTACACGACCCTGCTACTCAAAAAATGTCAGTCTCATGGGCAGTGCATGCATTTCAAGACTGCCTGGGAAGACCATCATTTAAAGGACAACAAAAATTTGAAGCACAGAAAACCCATTTCAGAATACCATACTTTGCCTGAATATCCAAGTTATATACACCACGCTGCAACAGACCAGCCTAGTGCCATGGTGAAGGCAAGATGTGTGGAAAAACACCAGTATTTTGGGGGAGCTCTGATGCTTAATTCAGATCTTAAGGTGCCACACAGTAAAATCCTTGTTGAAGCAGAATGTTTGTACTGGTTTTGGCTGGAATAGAGTTAATTTTTTTCACAGTAGATCATATGGGGCTATGTTTTGGATCTGAGACCAAAACAATGTTGATAACACAGCATTGCTGAGCAGTGCTTACAAAGAATCAAGGCCTTTTCTGCTTCTCACACTGCCCCACCAGTGAGTAGGCTGAGGGTGGGCAAGAAGCTGTAAGGGGACACAGCTGGGACAGCTGACACCAAGGGATATTCCATACCACATGACATCATGCTCAGCAATAAAATGTTGGGGGGGTGGAAATTTGCCAGGGTGGCAGTTGCTGAAGGACTGACTGGGCATCAGTTGGCTGGTGGTGAGTGAGTGGGGTTTTTTTGCATCACTTGTTTTTCTTGGTTTTCTTTTCTTTTGGGTTTAGGGGCTGGGTGGGAGCTGTTTTGGGGTTTGGTTTTTTTTGTTTGTCTGGTTGGTTGTGGGTTTTGTTTTTTGGTATGTTTTGGTTTTTTTACTTAAGCTATCTTTATTTCAACACATGAGTTTTCACAATTTTACCCTTCCAATCCTCCTCATCCCACCGTGGGGAAGTGAGCGAACAGCTGTGTGGTGCTTATCTGCCTGCTGGGGTTAAGCCACAACAATATTAAAGAACACTTTTCCTTAAATATTTTAAATATTTTAATATTTACTATATGTGTGTAGGATTTCTTGATAAAACACATTTCATGGACTGACTTAATTTACAAGCAGATAAAATTCTCCTTCTAAATTACCTACATCACTTCCTTGTTTCTACGAGGTCCTTCAAAAGGTCGGAAAGGCAAACTCCCTGTTGCAGCATGGTAAAAGGTCACTCCTATGCTCCAAAGATCAACAGTTGCTCCGTACTTTTTCTGATGCTCTTTCCTCAAAACTGCTCGCTCATACATATCAGGATGCTAAAGAGAAAAGAACAGAAAAAAAGAAGTTAGAATTGCTTTATGAACAAAATAAAGAACAAAAATCCAATGTATTATTTCACAGCAAGATAACTTGTTATTCTAAACTTTCAGCTCTTTAATCAAAAAGCAAAGTTAGCTTGTATCATAGAATTTGCTTAAGTTATTCTGGCAGAATATAACAAAAGTGTTCCTAGGTACGACAGCCACTTTTACTAAACATTTGCAAAAAATAAAATTTAAGTCTTAGCTAAAGACTGACTAACAGAATAAAGCGCCACTAAAGAGGAGGAGAAGCCAGTATTCCTCCAGATGACTTTGAAACAACAGAAGCCAAACTGGAAAAAGATCCATATCAGAGGAGAACATCAGTTACCATACTACATGTCGGAAAACATGGCAGGAAGACAATTATGTCTGAGATGTTTGTGTTGATGCTTCTCTGCCTGCCTCTCTTTGGTTAACTAAGATGTCAACTCAATCTTAACTACACCTAACATCATCCAAGAAGCGCAAATACAAACTGAAAAATATCTACAGAGATAAAGGCAAAGACATTCGTAACTAAAACACTGTTGTTCTTCGTTTCATGCAAGACAACAGTGGAAGTTGGACCTGGAAATTAGTTAAGGCTACTGTGCTCAGATCAGCAGAAGAACTGGCATGACCCAGGGTGAAAAAGGTGGAAAGTTATAACTACAATTATAACATAAAGGTTTAAATAAACATTCCCAGCTGTCTGACCTTCAACTCTCATCACAAAAGACCCCAGGCATCAAATATCTCTTCAACAGAAGATGAAATCATATGGGCTTACTAAATACTCTTCTGTGCCATAGAGAGAAACAAATTGTTCATCATCTTCAAGTTCTCTTGCAGCACCAAAGTCTGTAAGTTTGTAAACAGACTGACCATCTTCACCTATAACACGCATTATATTGCCTGGTTTGATGTCACGGTGCACTATTCCATTCTCCCGGAGATGATTCATCCCAGCCACTTCAATTGAAAAAAAAAAACAAAAAACAAACCCAAAACCAAATTTTATGTATACAACTTACAACTTGACACAGACTGCACAAGCACTGAATTGTAACTGAGGCTAGGAATACGTATGTGTTTACTTTCTCATTGGGAAAGAGGAATGAGAAGGGACACTGAATTAAGAAAAAGACCAGGACCAGATAATATTCTAAGCATTTTTGCCTTTTTTTTTTTTTCTCCAAACAGCTAAGTTACAGTATTTCTTGCTCTCAGCAACATCTTTCCCATAAAGTAAGTGAGGAAAATTTTATAACAGGCAGACACAAGTAAACCTCATTTTTCTAATTTACTCTACTGAGATTAGTTATCACTAGGAATCAATCCAGCATGTGACAAATAATTTGAAACAAACAAAAAAGAATTATAGCAATGCTTTAAACAGAAATGTCTTCTTAATGCATCTATCTACACCAATATAGACATAAATAAAAGATGTGACTCCATACGACCATATTAATTTGTTCAATTAGTTGACAGTCATTCAAATTCCTCACCTCTTGCTGTTTCAAGATAAATAAAACAAGTATGAGATTCTTTCACTCAATGAATTAGACTAAAGAGCAAAGTCTACATACCTACATCTCTCAAAACAATTAAGAACTCAGACTCTGGCAAACCAAAGGCATTAGACGGCTCCTCTAAAACTGTATATAAACTCCCACATGGACAAAACTCCATAACTAGTACTTTGTGTCTAGTTGTTGTCTGGAAAAAAAAAAATTGAAAAAATAACTCTGTGACTGTTGTGAAAACAATGTCAGAAATTACATATAACCACAAGATTTTATTAAAAAAAAAAATAAATAAAATCTGCATCTAGATCATAAATCTCGTTCTGGTGATCTTCTTCAAAAGAAGTGCAGGTGAATTTTTATACTGCTTCACGAATTCTAACTTGGAGAGGGGTGGAAATGAAGAAAGCATCACATTCGAGGCACTTAGAGGGTTGACAGCAGTATTGATAGGTGGACAAATATGGAACTACAGCACAGAAGAGCAGAGAGCAGCAACTGTCCTTCTTTCTTCTTTACTAATCTCAGCATCTGGGTCATTTCAACTCAGTCTCAGTTTCAGCCTAACTACTGCAATTCATACTAACATCCAATACGAGCATAGCGTTCTACATGTCCTGTCATCATTTTAGTCAGTTGCAAAGCAAAAGCATCAAATTGTCAGGATTACTGAAACACCTCCAGCTATCAGGATGTATTAAATATTCATACATGTAGATAGCCTAAAAATCCTAGTTCAAGATAAAGCTTAGAACAGTAGCATCTTGAAATGGCTTTGAAGAATCATGATCTGCACATAAACACAAGCATATTCTGTCAACAACAACAAAAAAGAAAAAAAAAACCAATGGTGGTTGGGTCAGAGTATTTATATCATCATATATGTTACCATTCTTTAAAAACGTAACATTATCCTCTATAGTTAAGAATAAAGCAAAAAGACAGTTACTGTGGTTACTACCAGGCATCTCAGATCACAACTACAATTCATTACCTCCTCTTCGATTGCGAACAATTTGACAATGTTCTTATGATTTAGTTTCTTCAGTACTTCAAACTCTCGCATCTGAACATCCACAGGACGAAGGAAGCTTATACTGTTAAATACTTTGACAGCATATAAATCCCCAGTTTTCTGTTGAAAACAAATTACTAATCAAACAGAAGCATAAGACTGCAAATGTACACATACCCATTGTCCACGCATTTTGAGATCTTCTGTTGTGCATACAAATATATACAGATTAGATATAGTTCAAAATAGTATTTTGTGTAAAGGTGGAAATTAAGATTTTACTAAAAAAATTATGTATATACTGGTTTACTTTCATACAGACTAGAAGCAAAGAGACCAGCAGAATGGAAACTCAAGGCTAGCCGACAAAATCTAAGTGCTTTTAAAAAAAGAATAGTTAGCATAAGAAAGGCTACACATTTAAGAATGACCCATAAACTTAGCTGAAAAATATGTTTTCAGCAAGAGGTAAGCCACTTGCACAAATCAATAAGAGATAGGCACATACTACAGTTGAGAATCTTGGCTTGCTTAAGTTAAGAGACAACTTTCAGAAGCTAAGCATTGCTCCCTTTTTCTGTATTGTTCTGTTTACACTGACTAAGTAGTACTTTGTTTTTTCAAAGAAGGCAGTGCTGAGAACTACATACCACTCATGTAAAATCCTGAAGCAATTCCACATAATAAGTGACAGGAGCACAGGCATGAGCTTAATCAAAGACTTAAGGCACCCGCAGCACCAGCTGAGAGCGCAACTCCTGTCCCACTTAGGGCAAAGTACCTCCCTGCACCCACTCTAGGAATAAGCCTACTGTAGCAGTCTTGTGTGTGACAGATTCTTTCTGAGGACAAAGTCTTCCTGTGCTCAGACTAGGTGTGCTGCACAGCACACTTACATGCACTACTGATGCCCAAGTAAAAGTTTTCTCCCATTGACTGCAGGTCATTACTCAGACTTGTGAGGGTGATGAGAGGTGCAACCATGAACCATAAGCTTTAGAGTGGAATCATTCTGTGTTTAAATTCACTCCCTTCCAGTACTTAAAGGGGGCCTACAGGAGAGATGGGGAGGCACTCTTCATCAGGGAGCGTAGCGATAGGACGAGGGGTAATGGTCTTAAGCTGAAAGAGGGGAGATTTAGATTAGATATTATGAAGAAATTTTTCACTGTGAGGGTGGTGAGGCACGGGAACAGGTTGCCCAGGGAAGTTGTAGATGCCCCATCCCTGGAGGTGTTCAAGGCCAGGCTGGATGAGGCTTTGAGCAACCTGGTCTAGTGGGAGGTGTCCCTGCCCATAGCACGGGGGTTGGAACTCGATGATCTTTAAGGTCCCTTCCAACCCAAACCATTCTGTGATTGTACGATTCAGTTACCAAGAAAAGCACACTAACTGCTAAATTATTGCTTACTGTTGCTTCACAGTTAAATGTGGAACAAAGAAAATGCTGCAGCCTATATATAACTTCATATTGATTTCACACAGACTGTCATTACTATAAGTGAATGTCACTTTCACAACAAGGCTTATCTTAATTTTGTGAGACATACTGTGAAATTCATAGGAATGGAAGGACCTACAGAAGTAAGGTCACTTCAACCCCTCAGGTTACAATATACATATCAGTATATAATTTACACAGCAAAACTGCTCAAAGATGTACTATTTTGTACTGATTCCTCAAGGCATGTCACCAAGAAGATGGTGTCCTAAATGTCCATGAAGCATGGACTTACAGACAAAAATTAATAGCAACTCATCTGATATGATAATATGTTAAGAATATTTCACTTACAGTACAAAATTATAAAAATCACAAAAAACAAGTGTCAAAAGAACAGGAAAAAATTATGAAAAGATAATCTAACAAAGACAAAAATAACATCATGTAATAAAAACTGCTAAGACTTTTATTCCTATTTAAATTCTTAAGCAAGGAGTATTTTTTCCATAAAACTGAAAAATGGAGAAATGAAGATTTAATAACAGTTACTATTTTACAGGGACAAATAATCTAATATTAAAAAGATCATCAGAAATAATTGTACAGAACTCTAATTCAATGGGTGATTATTAAAAAACCCAAAAACTAAGTATGTATAGTTACAAAGACATATTTGCTTTAGGCCTAAATCTTGAATGGTTTTTCATTGATTTAATTATGCTACCCACATATGAAAAAATTTCAGTTTTGCATGTTACTTAGATTAGTAATTCCTCACAAACCTTATTTCGTCCCCGGAAAACATTTGCAGTAGCTCCCTGTCCTAAAATGTCAGACAACAGCCAGAGGTAATTTGAAGTGCTCTGCATCTTTGCTCTTTGATTAGACAGTTTTCCTTTTCACCTTAAAAACAAAAGGTTAAATACATTGAGTTATAATCTAGCAAAATACATGAAAGGGACTTATTTTAATTAGAAGGAAAAAAACCCACACAACCACAACTCCAAAGACACGTAGAAATAATTAAGAAAAACCATAAGAGGTGAAACAAAGAAACAAAATTAAGCTCAACAATCAAAGCTAATGCCATAGACACACCACCTCTCTTCATTTGAGGTCTTTACTCCCCAAACTTTGTTTGAAAAATCAACTGGAAAAGTGAAAGCTTTATAATCCCTTGTCTGTTGTACATAGGTGTTTAAATTATACAATAACAAAAACTATAGGAAAGAGTCAAAAACACTTCAGAAAATCTTTTGAAAATAACCAAGACCTGTAATCTAATTCCGTTATTTGGTATATGTCTCAAAGAACAGACATCAGAGATGATGGCAAATATAGATACACATCTTTTAGATCACTTTGGCTCTGGAAGTTGCATTTCAGTACAACTGTAAAGGAACTGGACTAACTACTTATGAAAAGATATTTTTACATGAGCTAGATAAAAGTCACAATTAACACAAGTATTTTCAGCTACTTGCTAGAATCACCAGTTACTACTGGAAGAAATTAAGGGACATTTCTCTCATTTCTAAAATTTCACATTTGGTATGTCACATCATTTCTAGAGAGACAGCCCAGTTTCCCCATCTTTCCTGAAATGTAAACTGTGAGATACTCAGGTCTTCACAGATTCAAAAGAAAGAGGAAAAAAAAGAAGTTTTATTAAATTAAAACAATTTAAAAAAAACATTAGAACTAACAGATTTCCCCCCCTGCCAAAACAGCAGCAGCTGCCAAGTGAATACCCCTACCTTTTTGGTTCAATTAAAGCACTGATTTTGCCATTAAATCTATCAAAAGGCTCTAAGATCAAAGTTGTAGCTTCCTGAATCTAAGGAATCTTAACAGCAAAATGGCAATTGGACCAGAGGAAGGTCCTACAGCAGCACCCTTTCCTTGCAGCCTGGCCAGGGACCCTGCACCTGCCTATGTTAACTGACAAGAAGCAGCTAACTGATACTGAAAAGAAACAAACAAAAAAAGCCATTCCTGTAACTACTTGAAGAAGAGGTATGACAAAATTTCCTACGCAGGTTTGTTACAAGAAGCTCGTTGGCACTTTTTGAGAGCTCTCTGGTGCACAAGATGACACCACCAGAAGCCTTGCAGTGTGCACCACGGGAGAGCGGAGCAAGCCGCATGCCAGCCACGGCAGCGCCATCCACCCATCCCGTGCCAGCAGCCAGCTGAAGCACCCGCCTCTGCACTCCTCCCAATCGTACCCATCCATGCCACAACACAAAGAGACAGAAATCTTCTTGTGACTTTGAACGCATTTCTCTATGCGGATTTTATACTTTCATTTAGCTATTGACTCATGTAAGACGTGGAGTTTCTTGCAAAGCTGTCCCAAAACATCCAGGCAAGTACATGTAGCATACAGAACATAATGACACAATGCAAAGACCTGACATTACTCCAAACTAAATTCAGAGTCATGCAGCAACACCCTTTTTAAAATCTAGATGAAGTCCTTAATGCCTAGAGAAGGGAATAATGGTTTTATCTCAAATCTGAATCAAAAAACCCAACAACACAACCCAAACCCTTACAATCCTGAGTTAATTTTGACAAGACAATTTGCAATAGTAGATTAAGATTACTTCTCCCAGCTGGCACCTACTGTAGATGCCAAAGAGCTATCTATGATGCAGGCATAGAAAGTAAGGAAGATGTCTGCAAGGAAATAATGCATAGCCCACTCTGTAAATCATTTGAAAAAAATCTCTGAATTGAAAAATTCCTTGTAATTACACCCCTGCTTGTAACAAGCCAGCTAGGACATTACCAGTAAACACATATTTTGTCATTTATTTCAAAGCAACATTCATAAGACCCATACCAAGACGCAGAAACATAATGAATCCTTTCTAAGCAGAAAGACAGCATGCAGAAGGATCAAGTAAACACAGTTTCTTCACTGATATCTAATTAAATACTAAAAATTTTCAGAGCCTATTACACACTAAATCATTATGTCAAAGTGGTAGAAATGAGGTAGTTTATGGATGAGATGAGTTCTCTCCCTTTACCTTCTTACTTTCTAATTAAATTCGCACGAAGGTCAACGGGTGGAAACAAAAAAGGAAAAGTCTGCCATAGATGAGCTTGAATATCATTCAATGGATTTTAAAAAACCCCATCAAGTCACTAATGGGTTCTCAAGGTCTGGCTTTTTCACTCGTAAAACCACAGGTATGATTATGCCAGTATTAATCCCAGGGTACAAATCCAGTGAAAAACCAGTCAGTGTTGCACTATTATGTTTTGTTTTTTTCCAAAACAGTATTTTTATAATAACAAAGTCAACACTTTTAGCAGAGTCTTCACTTTAAAGGCATAAAGTCTCACTTAGCTTTGATTTTAATCTTCAACTTATAATAAATTTTATTCAATAATGTGCATAACATCTTAGACATCCTTTAATACCTTTCCATTCTCAGACTGATTCAGAACTGATCTTTGCTAAACACTCAGCATTTGTCAGGTTTTCATATCTTCCATTATCTTCCTAAATCAATTCACTAAGAATTTCATATTAAAAAAAAAATCTCTAAGTGTAAGATTGGTCCTGTCACTAGATTTAATGCTGAACTTCCTATTTCTTCACATCTCACTTATGGTCATTAAGTCTGGTACTACACAAGTCAGAAGCTCCTCACATATATCTAAAGGTATTTTTCTCCTACTGGAAGTTTGATTTATTGTCCCCCATGATTCATTAGCATTTCAAAGGTTTGGGAGCTGCTTTTTGTGTTTTTAAAGATATTTTTCTGCTTCTGGTGATGTTACTACTGCTTTATTCGTCAGTAGGGGGGACTGTGATAGAAAAAAACCACATTGCTAAAGTTTTTCTTTTTTTTAAAACTCCCAATGCTTTAAAGCAGGAATACTGTCTGCTTCTGATTAATACGAAGAAGTTTGCTTTTAGCTCAGGCACATGGGATAAGCACATACAGCAGGCACTTTCCCTGATAACAGCAGCAAGGTACAAGTTCACCAGGCAAGCAGGGACAGAAGATGAAGTGAAGGCTCTTGCTGCCTACAGGCCACATCCCATATGCCACCAAAGCCAACAGGCAAAGTGCTGAGGTTCCCAATAAATGTTATGTTAGCACTGTACAGTCCGGTACATATAAAGGTTTTATACTTTCCTGTACACCCTCTCTTAACACCTACAAAAGAAGTTTCTCCCCTTGAAGATCCTACTTCCTATCCCTGCTTTCTTCACCTAACTTCCTTCTGGGGGTTTCCAGTCCAACAGCTAGTATCTGAATTACCAAAATACCCCGCCCTGGGCCACACAAGGCCCTGTTTGAACCAAAGCAGCACACGCTCCCAAAGGCCTGCAAAACAAATGGAAAGCCTGGCTCCAGTGCTGCTCATCACCACTGTTCTCAGTGTTCCCAGTCCGTACCCAGGGAAGAGGACTTGGCCTCTGACAGGGACGGCAGCTCCTGGAAAGCTCCGGAGGGCCAGAGGCTCGCCCGAGCAGCTCAGCCAGCCCCACACTCAGAAATGTGGGGCATGGAGGGGACACTACTGGGGCTCATCTTCACAACAGGACATCCTTCCAGAGGTAACAGTTTAACAACTTCGACAACCACAGAGGCAATGGTGCTACCTGGGGAGAGCTTTACACAAGCAGCAGGCAAATACACGCTTCACTTGGCTTTTTTTTCCCCCATTCCAACTACAAAACTAATTCTGACGGGTCGCATCCACTGT